TCAGTACGCGTCCCGATCCGACACTCGCAAATAACGATACCGCCGATATCTCGATATGTAATAGAGTGCGATACGCGCAGTGCGCAGTATTAAGGCATCTGCGCTAACCACTGCGCGTATGGAACCACATAGCCCGTGTTCGATTTCCCGCGGTCCTCGCACTTCCTGCCAAGGGGAGAGACAGGCGAACGTCATATAGCCTCAGCAGCAGAGTGCGTCGTAAAGCTCCAGTGACGAAGGCAGAAGCGTTAAAATAGGTGGCTAAAAGGCACGGATTTTGAGGTTCCGCTCATGGCGGGACGTTCTAGTCCGCTTTCCGGCGGACCTCTGCCAAGAGTCCGCTGCTGCACACACGGCCAGCCGACGTGACCGGTCACGCTTTTCATGCAAACACCACCATATAGTATGCAACGGCTGACTCGGGGCGAGCTGTGTTGTGACATATTGTTGGTGCTGGCCCTATCGCCGGTACCAGACAGTAAAAAAGGTATGAGTGTGAGTGTAAATTCTCTCTGACTGCACGAATGTGGTTGTAAAGCAGTGATTCCAGTCAGACCAGGAACAACTCATAAGTTTAACACTACCTTGACTGAGCGAGGATAGGCATATCTCAGTGGCCTGAATATCCCGGAAATTTGTACCGGGAAAACTAGGAGGAATGTGTGCAGCATACAGATTACAAGGAAGGCAACAACGCCGAGAAGCAGTGCGCAGTCCTCAGTTCCCAAACCCGTACGCGCTGGAATGCCACTAAATGCACAGCACAATGTGACACAAGGTAGACGCTTCACACAGAACGCCGGAATCCCATCTTTACCAGCAAACAATCGGGGCAGCACCGCTTCCCGGACGTGTCATGTGCCAGAGAGGCCCGGCAAGCACGGCAGCACGCCAGCCGCCGATGCGGCCACTCACCTCCAGGTACGGCAGGTCCAGCTCCCAGCCGCAGCTTCTTCCGGGGAAGCGGCCGTACCCGCCGCGATGGCCGCGTCCAGCTCGGCGACTGACGACGGGAGCGGCGCGTTACGACCGGCAGGCTCCTCGTCACGTCACGCACGAGGGCGACGCGTCACGGCCGGCCAGCGCTTCATCACGTGACACACGAGAGCGACGCGTCACGACCAGCGGCTCCCCGTCACGTCATGACACGAGAGCGACGCGTCACGGGTGCGACCGACAGCGCTGGCCCCAGAAGTGAGACCCCAGCGGCTGCCAGCTATTAATAGACGCGAGCACAAGCCAACCCTGTCCGCTACACTTGCACTGTCACAGTTAAGAGCAACCCATCCTGCTGCTAAACTCGCGGTGAACAGCTGATGAGTTAAGCGCGCAAGGAATCTCTGCCCTATGAGAGGGTGCTTAAAAGTCTAGCTGGTCAGCTACCTTGATATCACACTACGTCATACGACTTAAGTGAATGCGTGTAACCAGAGCAAATTCACTTTGTCCACTAATGATGGCCGGCCAACCCAAAACCCACATCACATGATGCTTGCCCACTCTTAACTGAGAACCTACTCTGAGACTTGAGCGTGTCTTTGCTGTAGCGGCCCAGGAAGTACTCGATCAGCTTGGTCTGCTTTCCCTCCTTGGTCTCGTGGTACTGCCGCACGAAGTCCCCATGGCAAACCTCGTATGTCCAGTACGACTCCAACTGCAGGCAGGGCATTCACATGATGGCATGCTATGCATGAGCCAGCTAATCACCTGCATGCATTCTGAGGACAATGGTTGTTCTCAGATTACCTGAGGGTAATGCAGGGTGAGTATGCCAGCTTGCATAACCTCATAATCTGAGAGTAACGCAGGATGCCTATGCTTGCATGCACAGCCTTCAGTGCAGCTTCTACCACCTGTCTTTAGTACTTCATGGCATTTGGAGTTGAGACAGGAGTCAATGTGGGGTGCAACACAGCCCATAGCTGCAGCTCAGTTGCTCCAAGGCAGCATGCTTTGGAGCTTTCTGTGCTCAGATAGGTAAAACATACTCTCCAATCCCTGACACCCAAACTAAGTGACCGACGGTATTATCTAGCTAAATCGGTCTCGAAGTTCAGTTTGCACCACCTCAGCTGTGCTGAGC